ATATTACCCGTTGTGTCAACGCATGATTAATTGTTACAAAAATCAAGTGACACTTAAATACAAACAAGCCTAAAATCTTAAGAACAGCAATTACATAAATAAAAAATATTAACCCTGCAACGAATCGTGGATACACACCGTCGCACGAATTTCCGAAATTGTGTCAAGTGTTCACCACACTCATCAAACAAGAACTAAATATTTACGAATATACGTAATAGGGCTTATGATAGATAAACTATAAAATTATTATAGCGGCACTCAGTCCAAACTTATATAGTTAAGATTGTAAACTTAAAGTCAAAATAGACGCTTGTTGTTGTAATATCACTTAACTAATTTTTCCACGAAATCTAGCTAAATATTTTCTAACTTGTTTACGCTGTAAAACACTGATAGTTCCACGAACAGGGTGGACGAACAACAACAACAACAACAACAACAACAACGAAATGTCTAACTACTGCAAATTAATTTTAAATCCTGTTTGGTTGTTGAAGAACCAAACTGATTAGAATTTTTTGATAAATATTTCTACCAATTATTAAGCGAATAACAATCGCAGTATCTCGCAAAATGTTACGCGTTAGTAATGTGGGTATTAATATAAATATTATTTATGAACGCACTCAGCCACACATAGACGCAAATGAATTTTAATGAATGAGCCATAGAGGAAAAGTAATCGTTCGCGCTTTGTCTCCTTTCTCATATTATTCGAAATCCGTTTTATTGCCGGCATTCGAACTGGCCACGCAGCCAGGCGAACACCCGAACGAGGAATCAAACGGATAAACAGGCATGCAAGCAGGCAGACAATTGCTTTTTAAGATAGCAGCTAAATGTTAAATGTATGTTAAATGGATTCTATTAAATAAATATATAAATATATATATATATAATGTGTATATTATGCTGCATATAATATATGCGAATGTGTTTGTGAAGGCGATTAACTTATCATAATTAAGTAGAAATGGATAACATTTTATAATTATTTGACATATTTGCTCTTCTTCGAAGTTCACATGGTAAATTGTGTTAAGTGAAGCACTTACTCTTCTTATCCTTTTTTGACTTTCTTAAAGATTGCACTCGTCAGGCTTGGTTACCATCTATCAATCAGATTAAAATACTAGACTGAAATTTCCTTTCTCTTTTGTCTCATTCTTTTTTGTCTTCTTTCGCATATTGTATGTCTCGCCTTTTCGACTGATTCGAAGAATCATGAGCACCATCCGGCCGCGCATGATGCCATTTACCTTTGTTATCAGACTTCGCCTCGTCTGGCTTTGCACGTCGTAGGCAGTGAACAGATACAAAAAAATTTGATTAAATACGATCTCAATGGCTTGCCCCATTCCAGTTTCGAAACCATTCTTAATAGGGTTCGTTCTTGGACGACGACACGTCAACATGCTTGACATCGTCGAAATAACTGAATAATTGTGAAGTGTACACCGAATACGAGAACGGAAGACGGACAAGCAAATTCAGAAAATGATTCTGAATCGACATGACGTGATAAGCGGTGAATCTGTCTCAAGTCTTTCTGGGTGTTGCGTACATCCGCACAAGCTTAATACACCTTTGTATCACAAGTGGTGCCGGGTGTGATAAGAATACAAACAATATTCTCTCAGTACAACTATTAATTGATACCACAGCCGTAAATTTTTTCAATAAATCTTTTTTTTGTTTTTGTTTTTTTATTGGCTTAACAGATGCTTTGAACCCTCTAAACTATGGTGAAAGAAAGAGATTTTGAAAGATTTTCCCAAGCGGTTCGAACTCGGACTAACTGGATCACACGAATCCAAGCTGCTAGGTTATCGCCCAAAATATATTTTTGCCTGGCGATTTCTAACTTTTCTAATCCCTAAAGTAAAAAAATACGTCACATAGTAAGAGAACAAGTCAACAAACGATTCTTTAACTTCAAAAGCTCTGCTCTCGAAACATCATATTTCAAGGCGGACCTCGTAACAACTCCTAAAATGTTGATTCGTTTCGTTCGAATTTTTTACAATATCTTTATGATGATATTGCCGAGCGAAACGTGCAAACGATTTTTGATATCTTCACTAAAACATTATTAGCAAAATTTCTTTTCGCTTGAAAGTTAAACTTTTTTCTTGAAATGATCATCAATCACGCAATAATCAATAGTGCGAAAATTGCCTACGTGTACCAGCTACTTGTACGCATTGCGGATTAAATAATTTTTTAGATTATTTTTAGATCCAAACTCGTAGCCACTGCTCTATGAGCTGCATTTAACTTAAGGATGCCTTACGGAATGGGTTGAAGTCTTACTATTTTTAATATTTCTAAAAATATAATCATTATTATTATTGTTAATTCAGGCGGAAAAATAAATTCTGAGACGAAAGTCTTAAAGTACTAGCATCTAAGGTTATCGGCTTTATTAAATACTTCACTGTACTTTAGATTTGCCCCCGCGAGCACTGAGTTGCCAGTCGAGATTCTTTGTCTTCGGTCGCTCAGCCGGATTATTATAAATATAACAATTAAATTAATTATTAGATTAAGATAAAAAAAAAAAAAAAATTAGCACAAGGAATGCTAAGGAAGGCTAACTCCCTTTCTTGTACAAAACAAAATCAAATTTTTATTTCTGAGTTAAGATTGTCCATAGGCTTAGTCTTTTCGAATGCAATTCGCCTAACAATAGTTGAGTTTAGGCAGCCATCAGAAAGAAGGTGAGAGAATTTAACGAAGCTTTACGGATCCATTTGTGGGCTGCAATTGTATGGCCGACGCGAATTCGCTCAAGTGTGGATACAATGGAGGGGCTGGGTGAGAGTTAACGCAGGATTAATGCTGAAAAATGCACTTTTGTTGGTCTGTTACGGCGGTGTAAAGGTGTTGCCCCCTAAGTTAAGAGATTTTGTTTTTTTTTTTCGTCCTCTTCTCACATCTGAATTTTCGCTTTTCTTTTTCTCATCTCTGTGTTGTATTGCTACCACTTCCACTGCCACGTCATTTCTTTTCTTTATTAATTTGTTAGAGTAGCGTCTTGCGTTATGCAGGCGAGGCATATAAAAAAAAATGATTTGATTGCAAGTGAAAAGAAAAATCATTTTTCATTGTGTCTTCGAAGCACGTGGTTTCAAAATTCCGCCTAACCTAACGAAGACAATAAGAAGTAAACAGAAGTAAGCTTTGGAAATCTTTTTGTCTTTGCTTTTTTTTAGAAAAATGTTGCTTTTGCAACGTTTGTACGACTTAATTAGATACTTTTGTTTCCTCGGCCACAGTCAAGGCATGAACTGGACTCTTAATCTGGTTTTTGAATGCAATTATTTTGCTTTTAGAAATGAACGATTTATAGCTTTAATTAAAAGAAAAGAAAAAAAAACAACAAAAAAAAAAATAACAGTAAAAATTTCACTTTTATGATTAATTTTGCATCCACTACACATGCCATGCCTGCCGGTAGAGAAATCAATTGAAAAAGTTTAAAAACCAAAAAAAAAGAAAAGCCACAACCCGAAGACCTTTCTTCGAGACGACACGAGTGAACGTTTTGTGTTTGGTTCACAATTCCGATAATGTGCAAAACGTGCCGTAATCTTACTGCCAGGAATTTTCAATAGCAAAATGCGGTGGCAGGTTAGCTGTTGGTGAAGCTATTTCTCCAGATGCAGGAAAGAAAAAAATAAAATAATAAATAAACAAATAAATAAATAAAAGGAATAAAAACAAAAAGACGAAAACAAGGGAAAAGAAAAGAAAAGAAAAGAAAATCTATAAATCAAATTTTCTTTTCTTAAAATTAATGAAAATTTCAAATAGACGAAAAAATTAGACGGGAATATATAAATTAACATAAGTTTGCCATGGAGACGAAAGAAGAAATGAACTAATGAAACAGGGGCAGGGGCAGTGGCAGAAGAAGGAGAAGAAATAAAAAATGTGTTCAAGTGCAAACAAGTTTAAGGAGAGTAAAGGCCTTGTGCTGTTGTGGTGATGATAATGGTTAGTGGTTAATGGTAGTTGTAGTGTGGTTGATGGTGATGGTGGTTGCGGTTCACTGGTTAAGTTGATGGTTTTGTGAATACCAAGCATGACTAAAAATAACAATCATTTGGATGTGTGTTGTTGTGTTTATGCATTTGAATAAGCTTTAAAGGCTATAAACGTCTACACGCGACATTTGAGTCAATGAAGGCTTATAAACACACAATATTCAGCAAACAGCGGTGGCGGTCGATTACCAAACCGTACCGAACCACCAGAACCAGCACCTGTGCGTGTGTGTGGTCTTTGTGGTAAAAACGCTATGGGCAACCATAATACAATATAGGCAGACAGACAAACGGACAGAAAGACCGACAGACTCGTAGACAGTTAGCAAAAAAAAAAAAAAAAAAAAAAAAAATGAAAAAAAAAAATGAAAAATGCAAGCAGCATAGCATAGGTTCGTAGTAAACATGTTAAAGATGATGTTGATGGGAAAGGCGAGGTGAGCGCAACGCTTATTCCAACACACATAGAAATGCTTGAAACCTTACAGTATTCATTTCAGTTAAGATTCCGTACTGTCAGACCAATGTTGCATCGAATGCAGTGAATAACGAAACATCAACCACGTAGGCCAGGAGAGGGCCGACGCTTCACAGTTAGATTGTCATTTAGCAAATTGAGTTTGTAACATATACACCATCGTACCTATGCATATACACGCACACAATCGCACACATGCTACGTTAAAACATATGCTATATTATAAATGTTAATATTTAAACAGGCGGATGGGACATTGTAGTCTTTTTTTTTTTTGTTTTTTGTTTTTTTTTTTATTATTACCTTCAAATGAAATGGCATCAAGTGTGAGCTATAGTCGTGGTATAGTTATTTGTATTCATATTTTATGTTTTATACGCTTTAACACGTTTTTAAATTGTTTTAAATAATTTAGAAAAAATGAAAAGGCGCTTTAACCCTTTCTTTTGTCTACTTCCGTACGTTTACAGGGAACCGTATGCTTACAATTTAATATATAGTTGCAAACAATATGCCCTCAACAAGCCGTATAACTGATGCCATATTAACAACAACAGCAACTGCTGCCACATATCGTAACAATAACACTGTTCTGTTGCCATCGTTGGAGCAAAGATTACAAATGCCGCCAACACCGTCACAAATACTATCGCCAGATATAGCTATTCTCCCTGAAATTAATAGCTCTAGTTTAATACCCACAATAGGCCAAATAGCTTCCGTTTTAGTTTCAAACTTCCGGTCTCCTCCAGTAGCAGCAACAACCTCGGCATCGACAATCGCTAACTCAACGTTGCCGTCAACCCCCCTCAGCCACCATCGTTTTCATCATCGGTCATCGCACCATCAATATCAGGAAACAGACTTAACAATATCATCAACAACGTCTGCTGTCAGTAGCAGCAGTCATTCATCGTATTATCCTACATTTAACCCGCCTGACATTGAAAGTTTAGTTGCCAGCTCCGCTGAAGAATTTAGTAACAATTTTCGTGATCTATCGTTTGATGTATTTGATGACAATGACAATGATTTGTTTGGCTCACCATTGGCATTTGATGCTAGCGAGAATGGCCTATGGAATGGTCATTTTGTTCCACCCCCACCACGTCCGCCGTTTTTTGTCGATGAGCCGGTGTTGACTGATGGATTGACAACATGTGATTTGTGCTCTTGGGCGATGCCAACGAAAAGCACATTTATATTTGAGGGAACAATGGGTAAGTGAACAAAACATACATACCGAACGGTAATGAAATTTGAAGCGGTAGAACAAGCAAGACAACACAAAAACAAAAAAAAAACAAAAAATGCTCACATTTGTTAAAATTTAATTTAATATGAATAAAAAAAAAAAAGCATAGAACATTAGTGTTAAGTGTTAAATATTCTAAAAGTTAAAGAGGATACATGTTCGAGATGATGATGGCGATGATGATGATGGCGGAGAAATGGCTTTTAAACTATGTTAGAGTTGAGTAACGATAGGCACACGACTCCTGTTGCGTGCTTGAGAAGAATTTTACATTTATCTTTCTTTTTACAGTTCTTCTCTTTCGATTGTAACACAGATTTCAGATCTCTTCTTTAATTCAATAAACTTCATGACTTTTTTTTTTTTTTTGTTTTATTTTTTCTTTTTCATTTTTCTCCTTTGCTATAGAAAAGGCCTCAGAACTGGGCTGGCCCCTTACCTTAACGATTGTTTCCATATTATCAGCGCTCTTGGGTGCAATTATCATGATAACTATTGTCAAATGCAGAAGGTAAGTGCACATTTACAGCATATTTAACATTAGTCCTTATCCGTGCAACTTAAAGGTCTCAATGGATCGTTTTCGTTGGTCTGTATTTGGAATTATTTTTGAAACGAAAATAGACCAAATAATTGTGAAAAGCGAGAACGAAGCCAAAGGTATACACTAATTAGATTGTCGTTCCATTTGTTCGACCTGTGCATCTATTTTATACATCAACTTGCTAGCACACTGAATCAATGCCTGTCACACTGGAATGTTTTGTTTATCGGATGAGCTCCTACAGCTTCGAAAATTAATATCAAAAGCTGAAACTTGACTTTAACCGAATCTCACAACTTACAATTCACAACTCACAACTCACAACTCACAACAACGACAACAACAGCAGACTAAAAATGAAAGAAAAACTAACGTCACGAATATATATTGTAAACTTCGACATACTTATTTATGGGTTATGTCGCACATTGATTTAAAGCTTTCCGAGAACACTTAGCCATGCCTTGCAAAAGTGCGCTGTAAACAAAAAGCGCTTTGATTATATGATTAGTAGACTAGATGATCAAAACTTTCGGAAAGATGATGATGATGACGGCGATGATAAGCAATAATCGTTCAGAAAGTTTACATTACTCTTAAAGCTGATGTGACTAAAATCTTTTTTGAATGTGTGTATTATATTCACTGTGGAAACAAGCGGGCGTAATGGATTTGTTATCAGAGTTGATGGGTACATGCTTGTGACTTGGCTTGATGTCTTGTCTACATGTCGGCCGTAAAATGTCTAACATATTTTCGGTCCCAAATCATTTATGCGATTGGGTGTAGTAAGCAATGCTAAAAATACCAGTGGCTCATAGTCTTAAGCAGACCGTATTCACAAGAACTCTTCGTTGTCATCAATAAAATCCATTCTGAATAAAATGCTTCCAAATATTCAAATAGCGATAATATTGCGACCACAAAAGTTATTATAGTGTAGAGACGATACGTCCTTCGCCAACATTCCATCGAACGTATATGGATAGCGGGCGTGTATAAGCAAAGTTATTGCTTTATAAGTGAAAATATGTTGATTGCAAAAAGTGCGAAACCTGTTTAAAATCTTAGCATGCGTTGCTTAACATACGTTAGGAGAAAATAAAAAATAAAAAAATTATTTATAGTTTATATATTTGTTTATTTATGTTTGTCGATTTTGTTCACGATATATCATATAAATCCGTGTTTACAATTTTTTTGTTATTTTTCTTCATTTAAAATTTCAGGAAAAAAACATCACATCAACGTAGCGGTAAGTGTTCTAAGCATCATATAAATTCTCAAATACAAGAACAACAACAACAACAACAACAGCAACAGCAACAACAGTTACCACTTCCATCAATTGATAATAACCGTCTGACCACGATGCACAATCAACAGTTACAAATTTTTCAAACAAATCAAATAGATCGACAATTACTTCTACGTTTACAAATACAATCACAACAAGAACAGCAACAAGAACAACAAGAACAACAACAACAACAACCCTACACTGTACCAACAATAAATAATCAAATTGATAATTTGAAGCAATTGCCATTAAACAGCCACCATCACTATCAACAACAAGAACAGGAACAAGAACAAGAAGAACAGGGGAAAGAGCCTCAACAATACCACCACCATCCTATATCCCATCCAACCCATAATAATCATTATCGTCATCATCATCATCATCAGCAACATCATCATCATTATTATAGCAAGCAGCAACAAAAACAACATAATCATCATCAAAATTCTCCAATAAATGATAATTGCAGTAACGCAACAACTAACACAACACAGAGCAACTTATCGTCGTTAAACGTTCACAGTAAGCTTTTAGACAAAAATCTAGAGAAATATCTAAATTCTGACAGAGAAAGTGAAATTTTGAAACGACCTTTACCACCGCGACCCGATGATATTGATGGCGATAATAAAAGCGGTGATGAACGTTTAAATGATGAGCGAAATGAATCTGACATGCCTGAGCATTATCATTATGAAGAACCGTACAGTCAGAAGACCATTACAAAGGCGACAGCTATGACAACGACGGTAGTGGTGGTGGCTGCTCAAGGCAATGGCTACACTGATAGAAAATAATTTTTTGTTTCTCTTTATCTCTTTCTTTCTCTTTCTCGCTCTCTACGTTTGCAACACCGATGGGTATTTGGGTTTACACAGCCGACACGCATGTACAATGGTGGTCACGCAATAAACGGCCAAACGGCAATAACAATCATTTAAGGCGCAGTAACATTTACACAGCTCATCCCGCCGATAGTATAAGGGGTTTGCAACAAAATTCATTGTCGGCCGCATCTTCGATAACCGCCATGACTGCGGCCATAGTTAATGCTGCTGCTGCCTCACCGGCTTCAGTCACACAAATGCCATTCTATCACCATAGCCAAATGCAGCAGATGCAGCAATTGCAGCAGCAGCAACAGCAACATCATTTCGAACATAAATATCACCAACCTCAGGAATTACACGTACAGCCGCAATCAACGGAACAAACCCTACCACCAACACAGCACCATCATAACCATCATCATCACCACCAGCATCAACATCAGCATAGTTCATCTTCGTCATCAACGACATCAATGCCCTCATTGCTTAACAACAACATGACACAAACTTTACAACAGCAGCTACAGCAGCACATGCAAATGCCAGAACAGCTACACTTGCCATCGAATGCTCAGCCCCAACATCAGCAGCAGCAGCAGCAGCAACAACAACAACAACAACAACAACAACATTTACAGCATCAACATCCCATGCAGCCACAGCATCAACACTCTTCCGATATACAAGACAATCTGTTCCACTGGCCTAATACGCTCGTGACCAGCTGAGTAATAAAGACTGCGAATGCTGCATCTACATGACAACAAGTAACCATGACGCAACAACAGCTTCAACCGCAACCACAATCACAGCAACGAAAACGGAAAAAGCAAGATACGGATAATAATAATGATGATGACGACGACGACGACGACGACGATGGCGACGATGGCCGCCACAATGACAGCGCTAAGAACGACGATGAGCATCAACATCATCAAACCTTTGTTATCGCTAATGCCTGTTCATCAACATCATCACCGACAAGTGAATTTGAATGGGCACGAGCTGAAAGCTTAAAAAGTCTAAACAATGACTGGATTTGGCAATAATCTCAACTCAGCTCAATGCTGTGCACAGAAACCTCATGCGTGCTCTTGTGCTTAGAGAATAATTAAATAGCATAAAAAAAAGTTACAGCAATAAACTGAATCCGCATCAGTGTGCATCGTACGTAAGTGCAATAACGTATGCTTTTTGTTATACAAAAACCTTGAAATTTTCCATTTCTAACATGAAAATTTATTTACCCTACAATCATTCCGCAAATCACGCACTCCAATAAGCTATTGCTGCGATTTTCATATTTTCAACTCTTTAATATAAGACGCAACCTTAACATGGTACATCACGCTACTACTAATATACATGAATGATTAATTGCTCAATTTATTGAAGGAAAAATTCTTCCTTTTCAAAAAATAATTTATTTCAGTTTCGCCTTTTATTAAAACGCCTTAAATAGTCGATAAGGTAAGAAAATGTTAAGCGAAATTGCTTCGTATTTTATGTCTATTTCTGTCTTTTTCTCTTTGGTTTAATCTTTTTCATAATCGTTGTGCAAACCTAATGCGATGTTCCGTAAATCTTGGGTCATAACTTTAATTGCGTTAAGTTCATTCTGTGAGGTTAAAAGTTTCGTAATTTCTTCAATGTAAATTTCTCCATAAAGCATACAAGGCATGGGCACCATAACTTTCTCTTAGCACAGTGCATTATTTGCGCTTTTCACGACGTAGAGAATGATTTAATTGTAACGTATCTCTAATACTAGTAAGAATTTCGTAATAACTAAGCATAGAAATAAGTCGCGATTTCTTGCACATTCCGAGCTATTCTTCTTAGTCAAGCGTCAAAGAAGCCGCGTCGAATTTTTCTTTTTAATTTTTTATTGGCTTCCTAAGTAGAGCTTCGAACAATCTATGAAACCATTTGAAAACTCTACTACTGCTTAATGAAACTGTGCGGATTAATGGGCCAAGATGCCCATTGAGTCCATTCCTCGGCATGTTCTCCCGAACATTCATCCATGAAATGATCTCGGGAGACGTTCGTTTAATGTAAGGCGATGCATAAAGTCATTTTTTCAGATGCAAACGCTGTTAAGAAAGTTTTCCCTCCTAAGAGGACTAACAATATTATCAATAAATGTCTTACACTTGACTAATATCGTCATGAAAATATATATAAAATATGTAATCGAAACTCTTGTGGCATCTTGTGTGCTGAGCCGGCTACACTCTAACAACTTTTACCCGCGAATAAAACATTCACACAATTACCTAATTTAGTAAAGGTTTCAATTCATGGCGATTCAATGTGGAAAAATTGGTTCATTGGTATTTGCTATTTGCCATTGAACGATGACACTCTATCGTCTAATTCAGCACATATTGTTATATATATCGTATCATGGCATGTCAAATTTTCCACTGTATTGTAAACAAACAAAAAATATATAATGGGCCGCGTACAGCGAAAAAGGGAGATGGTAATCGGTGACGAGAACGCGTCCAATACACTCAACTTTATTGTGCTTATGTATAGGCAAGTATTCTAAAGACATTATTCACCGCGCGACGTACTCCCTTTACTGGACCTTGGCGCCAGGTGTCTCTCGGAGATGTTTTCACCCCCCCCCCCTCCTCCCCTCCCCGCTCTCTTTCAAATGTTTCTGCCTAAATAATGTTTTCTTTTTTTCTCCTTCCATAAAAAAAAAGAAGTGGCCAAGTTGCCGCCAGGACTATATATTTGCTGCTATCTATCTATCTCGCAGGCCCTAAATGGCACGGTCTCCCTTGTGCAGCATCCACTCTTTGAAAAAATATTAACTAAATAAATTGATTCGTAGCAATAGAGCTTCCACTGAGCGATCTGTCGCTACTCATATTCGAGCAAACTGCTGGCGAGTACAAAAATGCCGCTTTTGTCAATAAGTTCGTGGGCAATGCCTTCGGCTTAAAACGGACTTTTTATGGTCAATTTTTATAGTTTCATCGGAAATGGAGGATAATTTTTGGAAACGTGCGCTTCTTAGTAGGAAGATTACTTACATTTTCATTCTTTTACCTACCGCATCCAAAAGTTGATGTATTTCACAGATATAAACTAAGTTTCGTAGATAAAGATTGCCTTGATTTCATTAGGAAAAATCTGCGTAGTCCATGCATTTGTAACATCCGCAATCAACCATCAACCATCGCAGCAGCTGCTTAATGAATAATTCATTTCAAAAGTCAATTCATTCACTCTAACGTATATCGTTAGATAGCAATTTAGTTAAAACACTTTTTAACAAACAAACAAACTTATCACTTTTCCTTACTCTAGAATCTATGCAGTTAATCTGTTCGGCGAGTATGACTTTATAGATCAAATATAGAAAATGTGTGTCGATCCGTAAAGAAGCGGAATATTCAAGAAACTTTTAAGGAAGTACCTCGAAGACGAGTGTGCCTATGATTTCTCGCTTGGTACTCTGTTACAAAGTATTTTTCTGATTGCATTTAAAGCTTTATTCAAGGCAACCATCTGAAACGGTTTCATTTAACAACATGCAGTGATTTCCTTTCCTATACGCAAAATAATTCCATTTCTTGAATAATCAAAATTCGCCGCGAGGCGAAAGCAAGGCTTGAATGAATGAACTTAATTTAAAATAATTTAAGTATTTGAACTGGACTGCTTTTAAAGTCACTCAAAAAAAAAGGTTGTTTATGAGTTAGCGATCAAAAATGAAACAAAAAATTTTTTTATTAGAAAAATTTTTAAACTAAATATATATAATACATATATTAACAAGACAACAAAAAAATAAAAATAAAAAAGAAGAAAAAAAAAAAAAAAACAAGAAAAAGAAAAAGAAGAAGAAGAAGAGGAAACCAACAAACATTCCAAATGAAAAATGTTAATAAAGCATATCAAACGTTCTTAATAACATAAAGGAACAAACTAAAATTACTAAAAACAAAAGAATCTACAAAAATAAAATTGAATTAAAATTAAGAAGAAGAACTTGAAAAGCATTCCTTGTCTACTATCATCATTCACATGAATATCTGCAGAAAACATTGAAAGAATTTACTTTTAGGAAATAAATAAATGTAGTATAACAACGTACATATATACATATAAAAATACATATAAAATATGTATATAAGTAAATTTTGCTATATAGCATATACATATATTCAGGGCCAAAAAATTCGTTAGACCGTTTCCCTTATAAACTGGACGATAATACAAATTGCATGAGAAGCATATGATTATGTTGCGGCGACCTAAAGAATAAAGTTCGCTTGAAATATTTCTATTCTGTCGTCATACTGGAAGAATGTGAGGTGAGTTTACACGATATCTCACCTCATACTTTCCTAGCATGTAGAGCGTGCTGATTTAGCAACATTCGGGAATTGTGATACCACAAATATCTTATTGCGGTACGTGAAACGTAATCTATAATGAATTTTCCAAATTGTTTAGGAGTAATTTTGTTCGTTCATCGAATAATCTTCGTATTCCATGTTACCTATCATTAAGCATATTAAAGGTAAACTAAAGTTATTCGAAAATTATTATTAGCGCGTTCTCGATTAGAGAGAGGTGAAGTCATTTCATAAATATGACTCAAGTTGGTTGTGCCTGTTGAAAGTCCGATTTACTTCAAAATGGTCTAAAGAATTTTCGGTTGGCCTGTATATGATGTATACGTAACTAATACATATGAAACCAAAGACTAGTCCAGTGTGTTTTTAACATCAACAATAACAACAGAACATTTGTATATAGACATATATATATATATACATACATATATATATATATATATATACGTATAATAAAATTTAATTCATTGTAATATAATTTCCTTCTAATTGCAATATTTCTGCTTACAGTATAATTAAGAGTAAATTATATTTAACTTTAAACTCGCATAATTATGAAAACATTCATACATCCATACACATGCGCACAGGTACACATATATATATATATATATACATATATGTATATATATATATATATATATATATTTGCATTGGTAAACATACACATATGTACCTTACCATGTTAATATTATTTCATATCCATGTATGTGTTATATATAATATTGTACTTACTTAAGTAATTATATTATATAATATTGCAATTGTGTTGGTGCGTTTATACACACATGTAGAAAAAGCCTTCATTCCAAATTCTCGTTTCTTGCGCACCTTCACCTACTTTACTATATATGTATTTCATTTTAATTATGAAATATTCGATAAACATGCAACTAAACGAAACTCATCCAAGTTCCAAACATATGAAAATGAAAACAACAACAGCAACAAAAACAAAAACAAAATAGTATTTAATTCAATATAAACGAAAATTAAAACCAAAAAAAAAAAAAAAGGGTTTTTTTTTTTTAAAGTATTAAACGAGAATAAATTTTTGAAAAAGTTGAAGTAAAATTTTAAAAAGCTCATGATTTCATTTGCAAATGTTCAAAAGTAAGTATACAACCAACAATAAGGTAGCAGTTTAAGGTACACGAGTTTTCGAGCCTTAAGTTAAGTTCAACTAAGGTCTGCAACTCTACAGAAAAATTTTGACTAAGTTGAGCAAAGTCCACACTTAAGCGGCAAGCCAGTACAAAGCAAAGCAAATTGCCTTCATTTTGGGCTAATGAGTTCTATGAGCCCTTTAGACTAACGCAGTATAGGAATGCATTACCTTCGCTAGAAACTTTTATTGATGAATGTTACGAAAAGGGTTCCAGCGTCAAATCACATTTTGCTAGTAAATGACAGTCCAATGTCCTCAGTGTTCATTTCTAACTTCCCTAATAAACTAACTAAGATGCTTCACCGACACATACGTTCTGTAGATATGGAATCGAAAGCACTTCTTGCATGGAATTAAACTGTCGAGAAGGAATTTTTTGTAGCATTCACTAATTCAACTATTATGTTACACATTTTCTTATCATTTTCTCTGACATTGCGGTACCGATAAAGTGTGAAACGTAAGTGTAAGAGGAACTCCTTTCGAGTATAAAATCCTCGTCTACAAAGAATAAAGGCAAATTTTTGAAGAAGCACGGATAGCTTCGCCATCCTCGAGTTGCATAATAAATAATAAATTATTCTATTCAAAAAGCACACATGTAAGACATATCCTAATTTAAAATGTGCCTTTTGCGAAAATACCAAGGAACATAACTCGTTCTTCAATCTTAAGAGAAATAGGATATTTTCGGCAATTAATTTTTGATATTAATTGTCTTCTTGCCGTTTTATTCGAAAATTGAACGCGTTCGATTCAACGACTAGCCAATCGCGTAAAAATCATTATTATATTCATAACCGAAGGATGGAGGGGTGTATTCATTTTGTCGAAATATTTGCAATGGTCCGAATGAAGCTTGAGAGACCCTAGTACATATACTTGATAAGCATCAAATTTCCGGGGATTTAGGCATTTAGGTCTATCTGTCCGTCTGTGTAATATCTGCGGCTCCACAAATGAAGCAATCCACTTCAAATTCAATGATCGAAGGGCACGTCAACAGTACGACGTAAGCAGGGACTGCTTTTGCAAAAAGCAAAAAAAAAAAAAATTGATTTTTCCTCATTTCGTGCAAACTAGAACCGATAAAATCATAAAACTTTGCACGAAGATTTTGCCGGTGATACTCTAGCACTTATTTAAAAGTGGAAACACGCGGCAACGCCTACTCAATGTTACAGCACATTGAAATCTTATTCCTTTGTTAAGAGGCGTGAAACATGCAGAAGGAAACTTCACAAAAATATTTAAAGGATATATACGCCCTTGATCAATATCAAACACTGGGTTCATTTAGGCATCTCGGTTCTCTCGTTTCTTAGCCTTTGTGTTTTGCGTGATAAATATTCTCCTGTTTGCGATAACTAAAGTATAACCTTCAAATTTGGTAAGCATGTTAAAAATTAACGCAAGCAGGTTGTTAATGAAAATCGTCGAAATCATTTGAATGACACGCCCACCATGTAATGTAAGCTGAGAACATCCCGCGAAAAAATGGGTTTTTTGTTCATCATTCATGAACTGCCACAATAAAAAAATTGTGTATTCTACGTTAAGATGCCAATGGTGGGTATGGAGGAAGGTTCGACCGTAGTCGAATACAACTTTCTTACATGTTTTTTTTTTGAATAATTAAATATATGCGCAATAACCTTTCCGAATATTACTATTCTACCGAGTTTCTTTTCATGCCAAGAAAATGATCAAAAATACTTTATTTATTTTTTTCTTTTTTTTTGTGGCGTTTTCTTCACTTAAACCCAGCGAGAGAGATCATTGAGACTGTTTTACAACAACATGGATCGTGCAAATGGTCTCGATCAGTGAAAAATTCTGGATTGAGTTAGTTTTGGCCTGGCTTCCGTCTGTTCATTTGTAACTAAAACGTACACACATTAAAATTTTGCATAAATATTTTTCAGCGCCCTCTTGAAGTCGAATACAAAACCTATCTTGATCGACTATCGGACGCACAACTTTTTTTTTCAATTTCATATCAAAGCTCTTCTCTGAGGCGAACACAACAGCAACTCTTATCTCCGCGACAGTTCAATATTCCAAATTTTTCATA